AATCAGCGTTATGGTCATACTATTAGTACATAATTCGTATAAAAGCCGATTTTGACTTCGGGTACTCCCCGTAATTGCGAAAGTTCACCTTTAAATACTGATGCTTTTTTGGTGATTCGTGATGTGATCCAAGAAGAAGTTAGATTTTTTGATATGTTGCAGTAATTCGGACTATTTTTAGTAAATTTTGGCTTATTTGCTTGGTCTGAGCCAAAAAGTCTCTTTGACAATTTTGTTGGAATGCAAAGTTTTAAGGCAATGTCTAGGACTACGGCTGTTCCCTAATCGCAGAGTGCATGTGGATTTACTGCAAAGAAGTTTATACAAAAATGTGCATTGAGTAATTCAAATGGTCAGAAACCTTGCAACACATGCTTACTAACATTTGCATTTGAATCATCGGAAAACAGAACAGTACGCCATAATTCAGGCTCAAAATCAGTAAGATCGCTGGATGTCCATATTTAGATCGGGAAAAGGACGGAATGATGAATGCATCTAAGAGAAAGAGTCCGAAGTTCCTTCTTTTATGAAAACACAAGACATTTTTGCTGCTTCATCACCTTTTCAATTTCATGCGTGAGTCTATTGGATAGCATTTGCTGTGTGCTGCACTACAGTGATGACAATCTGTGCCAATGTTCTTGTATATTTTGGTTAATAAATAAGAAATTTATAAAGTTGGCACAAAATCAATGTTCGTCCTGCAAAATTTCAGTTTGGCAACCTATGACTTTGTCGAAACTTCGTGATTTTGAGTGCAATAAAAATCATTTGAAGCAATGAATCTCTTTCGCAACTAAGCGTACACTCGCTTACAATAATATAACAAACTGCAAAAAACAGATATTTCTTTTTGAACCTCGTTTTTGGCAAACCATAATTTCTTCATTGTTGCTATAGCTGGTGAAGATAAAAGTTCGGATAGCGAAAGTACCTAGAACTATTCCCTAAAAAAGATGTACTTGCAAAAAAGATCGGTTTTGCATCAACTTTATATATTTTAAGTACAGCAGCATGAACACAAACGTAACGAAGAGCTATATATGCTGGTATGTTATTTTTTTTTAAATCGTTGTCGATTGATTTCATAGGCATAACTGTCGTGTTTTTGCCAAAATATACATTCATTAACAGGCCTTCACCTTTTGAGGCATCAAATTTTGAAGAGTGTTGGAATTACTAGTAATTCTCATATTTCGTAAGCAAAACTATATGTCTAAGCGTGACATCATTCTTATCTGAAACACAAGATGTTTTTCTGCGCAGCCAATTCGATTTTGTATCCTCTTTGAGCAATGTTATACTCAGTCATCTGTCGATAGATTTCTGGAAAGAACATCTTCTAAACATGCTCCTACTTTGTTTTCCAGATCAAGCCGAAAACTACCCATGTTTAAGCCAGTAAAACTTGTGCCTTTGAAAAGAACTTTAAGAGCTTGTTAACATACACTCGGGCTCTTGATTCTTATGTTATTGCGAGGTAATATCGGCAAAATGGCACTGCTTCCTTTCAGTGAATTGAGGAATTGTGGATTACAGCAATGCTCTTGTTGTTTTTTCCAAGCTCCAAATAGAGCTTTTTGTAAACGTCGAAACGACAAAAGCTCTATATCATATCTGTCTTTATCGACTGTAAAAATTGCAAAAGTGAAACTTCTATTAAAGCAGCAAGCAGGTATTTTCTGTGAGCAGATGTTTTTTTGTGCTTTAAATTATGCAATTTCAAAAAATTACAGAGATTTTCATGACTAGAATTTTATAAATTGTCTATAAAAATACATTTGATTGATGAAGCGAAAAGGGAACCACTAGTAAAGAGTGAACAATAATGTCAACTGCAAATTTTGCATCAAACATCCGCGTTTTCTGTTTTCTACCCTTGAAACTTAGTGAACTGCGGTCTTACCGAGATCTAGGGGGCTGTTTGAATAGCTATGGCCCAATAGCAATTCTTTTGCATGCATGTCATTCCGTGAAGAGCTCGCCTAAAGTTTAAGATTGTTTACACTTATGACGCACACCATAAAACACCTTTCACTGTAGAAAATGTTCGCATGGGGAATATGCTCCTTATATCATATGCAAACATTGTTGAAGAACTTTCCACATTATTTGTGTCTGCTCAAACGATTACATCTACTTTTTCACATGAAAGCTAATGTCATTTCTGGTGTAGCGCAAAACACAATGCAACCTCTTTAGCTTATGTGAAGTAGACGTAGACTAGAAAACGCTACGGCACATGCTATGATGCTTCTCTTAATCATCTACCTCATCCACTCAGAAACAAGACATGGTGTCACTAAACGACATTATATGTCATTTGGCGTACGTAGAAGAAAACGAACAAAACGAAATGCTCTTATGCAACTTCAAACAACAAATCCTTCCAGCATTGCGTTTTAGTTCGAAGCTGAAAACTGAATGAAATGCATGAAGCAGATATCATAAGATTCGCGCGCATACGCAGTCTTGGCAACTTAAAATGAAGCGGTTTTTGGTAGCGGGAGAGTGCGAAAAGCAGTGCTATAACGTGGGAGTTCAGTAATTATCCTTGTAATGAGGGACAACCCGCCTCCACACAAATCTGAGAGCTGTTCTCAAGCATCATTTAATCTGTGAGCAAGAGCAGGGCCCGGCACGAGGTGGGCAAACGGGGTTTTCCAAAACGAATTCCCCTTTGATCCCAATAAATTTTACGAATACCCCCTTGAGCCCAAAAATGACGTTTTATGCTTGTGCGACGAGATTACCGGCCACACTTCGTCTAAAAGCGCTCAAAAGCGCCCAAATTGCTCAAATTCCTCAAATTACTCCTCAGCTGCATCAAGATAGAAAACAGGAAGAAAAATAAGCAAGAAAAATGATTGAGGAATGAGAAAATATCAAAGAAACGCAGTCATAGGAATGAGAGACGCCGTTCCCGCGCGTATCGATTGACTGGGGCGCGCTTTCTATCTTAGAAAGCTAGGCTGCTGATGCGATTTTGGGCTCTAACAAGGATAAGAGGAGGAGTTTCGGAACCAAAATTTCACCATGTAGTAAACTTTAGGTGTACAACAGATTTATGTAAAAATTGGAAAAAATTATATGAATTGAGAGTTTTGCCGACCTCAGGTGGGAATTAGGTCGGCAAATGCCGGCCTAATTTGGAAATTAGTTAAGCACGCTCTTCATTCACATCAGTTTTTCATAATATTTCATACTTTATTACTTAGTCCTATTGCGCATATGCAAACCGAAACCCGCGCGATTTTGTTACCTCTGCGTTGCAAACGAGCCATTTTTCCACTTTTTTGGTAGCGCAAAATTATCAGAAAAAAGTTTGCCACAACCTTCAGTCACATAATTTTTCAATGAAACTCCTCAGTTAAGCCCTGCAAGCCCGTGTGCATGTACTTACCAAGTTTCATACCATATCGTTCATCTGCGCGTTCCAAACGAGCCGTTTGAATTCACATCTTCATTTAACAGTTATGCGAAATTTTCGGAAAAAATGCTAATTACTCGTTCCGTTCACATAAGTTTTTCATAATTTTTCATACTATGTTTCTACTAGCCTCTCTTCGTTGGCATACCAAATTTGGTGCCATATCGTTATACATACATTGAGAACTAGTCATGTATGCAGTTACAAATAGCATCGCTTGGGCGACGTCGCGGGTGCGGCAATTAGCGACGGCGCGGTTTGACGCGCGCGAACTCCAGTGTTCGTCTGTTGAGGCACATAACATGTCAAGATAAGTAGCGAGCATGAACTACCAATTTTTTTTCCGGGTCCCCTTTGCTTTTTAACCCCAAAACGATTTCCAGCTTGTCATTTGCCGACCTCGTGCCGGGCCCTGAGCAAGAGATCTAATACCGCCTGGCATACATAATACAAGCTTAATAGTGTTTTCAACAAGCTTATGCTTGTGTTTTATCTAAGCTAGGATATTTGCAATTTGGTAACATGAGTGAACAAGTTCGAAGTCTGCTTAAAGGCAGTGTCTCACCAAAATTTAGTTGCCGAGATTTTTGCATTTTGCGAGCCTGGCGAACCTTGTCTAACACTGTATGGGCTTGAAATCGCACGAAGTTTCCAAAAACTCCGTTTTCTGGAAGCCCCGCGGAAGCAACGTGGACGAGTTGTACCTTCCAACTTCAGCTTCAGCCACACTGTCAGCAGCAGAGGGTAGGTGGATGCCAAGTGGATGGACATGTTCAAACGCATAAAAGGGGAGACCGAAGGAGTCGTCCGCGTGTACCAAGTCGCTCTCCGCGTACCACTTTGAGCGAATTTTTTTCAGCGTGGAGGGCGTCAAATTGAGTGAGACTGTTGCAATGGCCTACTTAGAAGCCCCTATAATAGAATATGTGAAGATCCGCGCGACCTCAACTTTGGTGATACACTGCCTTCAAACGATCGTAATTCTGTTGGAGCATTTTTAGCGGCCTCAGTAGTCGCACGCGAAACACTATACAAAGGCTCTTATTCAAGCACGTAAAAAAAAAGATCTGCGCGTGTGACGTGTCTTGGAGTTTGTGTACTTTTTGTATGCCTTATGGCTAAACTCAGGATAAAGTGGAGTCTGTATGCCCGTAGTAGCCTTACGGCTGAACTCAGGGTAAACAACGAAAAAAAAGTATTATAAAGTGGAGAAAACGAGTGATTGTTTACATATTGAAATAGCGTTGAGCAAGAATTGGAAGTGTTATACAAGTGTTCTGTCTATTCATTTCTTTTACGGATCGTGTATGCAACATGATAATGCACTGTTCTATCCAATTTCAAATCTGCAGAAATCAACGCATTTTCTTGTTATTATTTCCATCAAGCAGTTCTTCCTCCTGAAACTTACTTCTTAATTTCTATAAAATGAGGGCCTTCACTTTCTTTCACTTATTCGAATTTCAAGTATGGTGCTCAAAATTGATTTTTGAGTCATCTTGTAGTAAGTGTAAGAATAATTTTTGGCGTAAATTATGTACGGATAGGCTGAATTTCAACCAAGGTCCTCATTTTTACATATGAGAAACATAATGAATGTTACATTTTCTAACGTAAATATACACAGAAAAATACAGGAAACGCATAGCATAAATACTATATTCTGGTGTCACTTAGGTTTGATGCAGACTTGAAGGGCGTTGTTCTCCACATTCCATTCGATATCGTAGTCACTGTAACCTTTAGCAATCATTTTCTCCTTGAATTTCTGTAAGCGTGGATTGACTTTGTTTTCAATTACTTCGGCAATCTGTAAATGTGTATATGTGAAACATAACGAGCTCAGTTGTTCATTCATACCTTTTGCGGTACTTCACTATTGACCTTATTTCTAACCCTCTTCTGTATCTCTCCCCTGAGGAAGTCCAGATTTCTCAGATGGTGTGTGAACTCTATGTGGAAGTCTGAATTAACGGTCACTGTGGGCGTGAATGTGAAGTCATTCCAGACAAGGGTAATGTCCACATCAGCATTTTCGCAAGTTGCTCTAAATTATTAACAAGTAATTTCTTATTTTGAAAATCTAAGGGTTAGATAAAATCAATAATACTAGGTTGGTCCGAAAGTTCGTTCGCACCATTTTCAAAAAATCATAATAACTTCCTTCCCTCACAATGATTTTGCGCATCTCAAATTTTATTAGAAAGCGTAAAGCATGTAGTTTCCAATGGTCCCCTGAAGGCCTTTCAGCATGTTCAGATTGCAGAGATAAAAATGAAAGAACGAAAACATCCGAAATTTGGAATTTTTGAGAAACAATTCCAAAAATCTAGAAACTGCGCGATAAAATCCAGAAAAGCCATTATCCTAATTTTTCTTATATTTCATTACTAACTGAACTAAGTTTGTGCTGATCGAGCTCTTCTTTCAAAAGTTATGATTTTTATAAAAAAATTCCGAAAAATCACTTTCCCAAGAATTCCTAAGAAATTGATTTTTTCGGAATTTTTTTCAAAAAATCATAACTTTTGAAAGAAGCACTCGATCAGCACAAACTCAACTCAGTTAGTAATCAAATATAAGAAAAATTGGGATGATGGCTTTTGTGGATTTTATCGCGCAGTTTCTAGATTTTTGGAATTGTTTCTCAAAAATTCCAAATTTCGGATGTTTTCGTTCTTTCATTTTTATCTCTGCAATCTGAACATGCTGGAAAGTCACCAGGAAACTATTGGAGACTACATGCTTTATGCTTTCTAATAAAATTTGAATTGCGCAAAAATGTTGTGATAGAAAGAAGTTTTGATTTTTTGAAAATGGTGCGAACGAACTTTCGGATCAACCTAATAATATAAAATAGAAGCTTTTAAAATAATTGCCTACTTAATATCTCCGCTCATTCGAGCTATTTGTACCCATTTTCCAAAGACTTTCTTACCCAACTCCACCCTACCCTTGACAATGGCTCGAAACTGTACACCTCTCAACTGCAAAAAAGCTTTGGAATAGCTAATTACAGGTTGCTAAAAATTTACCAAATTTCGCAGAACTAAGTTATTACTTACGTTGACTCGTACACCATTGCTCATGTCCTGGAAAGATGCGCCCGTCTTTGGCACACAGAAATAATCAAGTCGGCCATCCCATATACGGTATTTTACCAAATCTTGCTGGAAAAGATATATAAGCATTTGTAAAAAGTGAACAAAAACTGCAGCGAACCTGACCGTCAAATTCTGGAATGGTAATGGATCTCACGGCCTCATTAATAATGTTTTCCTCGGTTTCCAAGACATTCCATATGTTTGGGGTTACTGTTAGAGTGAATGGTGATTTCGAAGGCCTTACAACAATGATAGAACTTTTTGACATCTGACTCTCTTTTTAGATGGAGATATTGATTGAAATTTTTTTGTGGCATGTACGGAAGCATTTTAAGCATTTTTCAAAGATCTATCGAATCAAAATGGCAAAAAATTCTGCCGACTTACTTTTTTCCTCTCAACAAAGAAACGATATTAGCGTCAATACATAACTCCATATCTTGCTTAATCTTACAAGAAGCAGCAACCTACAAATAACCATCTTCTCAATCAATGTCGTAATTTTCCTTCAGGAAGGTCACAGCAGAAAGGGAAAACATAAAGTCGTGTCACAGCCATCATGCTAGACATACATCTCAAAGAGATTTGATGACTAATTTCATTTTAGCTGGTGCAGGCGATGTAACTTCAAAACAACCAAAAAGAAAACCTCAGAGAAAGGCTCAGAAACTGCAAACTTGCAAAGAATTGTCCATTGATTAGTTTAGACTGAGATAAAACTTTTCTAGTAAAACCCATTTAAAAATCAAATCAGAGCACAGGAGCAGAAGAAAGATTCTTCAAAGAGGAAGCTAAGTGTTTGACACAGACATAAGTTACTAGAAGTTCTTTTAAATCGGCATAAAACCCTCACATAGCTTTGAGCGAATCAGAGGTCCTTCTAACATGACATCCAAATATGAAATGTTGGCTTCAGTAGTACAACCCTCTAGTGAGTCATGACAGTTTGCCGTTGTCAAAACCACATCTTTTTGGTTTTTTCGCAAAGCTCGTACGCTGTGACTCATTGCCTTATGTGTCAACAATTTTCGAAGTCTGTGCGATGGCAGAAGCATGTAATAAACCATCAATAGAAAATCTCTTGTGTTAAATTAGTTCAATTTATTACCCTAATTTCACGCGTACAAGGCGCACCTTTCTCGATTTTTCGACTAAGCCCCTCAGCCGTTTTAAATTATTTCGAAAAGCGATCCTTATGCCGTACGATTCTCTTAAGCAATATACAGCAAGACATAGTTCCTTTGGTTGCGAAGTTCTTTGGCGTACGTGAGCTGGTCGATTTTGGAAAAATCTCCGCGCCTTGTACGCGTGAAAATAGGGTAATACCAATGTAATTCTTATATTTGGTACTCCCACATAGGCTACGCGTGTATAAGCTCAAAGGCCTTCGTTGTTAACTCCAACGAATAGGAACCGTATGTAGCGACAGAATGATTGCGAGACTTTACCAAAGTGGGCTCAAGAAAATTCGGATACCCGTTCTTTGATCGGGAAAATACTGCCTGAGATGACTCATGTTCCCACATTTATGTAATATCTCCTGCGTGACGAAGGCGGTTGCCCAAATAAGTTGAAGTGTGTCGCGCACGCGGCGCGCGGGCTTGGTCAGCGCTTTTCCACGGAGCGCGCGCAGCACGACAGCCAGCCGGCCACGTTATTGGTGCTAACTTTTGCTGTTATTGTAAACTGCGATGACTGTACTCGTTCAGTGAGGTGAGCTTCCTCTTCAATCTTTCTTTCTAAGTGAAATTTTGATACTAGATGTGTGTGCTGACTGTTTTTCATGACTTTGTGTGTCGCATGCTTGCGCTATGTGTCTGTAATCCGTTGCTTGTGTGCTCTCCTTGTTCTTCATTGCTCTCTTTGCTTTTCACTTCTTTTTTTCAACCTTTTTTGTAAGCTTTCTGTTTGTTGTGGATGTTTTTATCGCACTGTTGTGTGAATGCAGTGAAATGAAGCAGAATTGCTCTCTCACAGCCCTGTTTCTTGACCCCTGCATGCTCTCAGTCTTCATCAGTGCTTGTATGAGCTGTGCGTCTTCGTTTTTGCTTCTTTGTGAGAAGGCAAAACCCTAGATGTGTGGCTAAATCAAGCATTTTGGTTCCAAAGCATGCTGCAAAAGAAGACTGTGTATTTTCAGTGCAGTATATGATGTTTTCTGAAGGTAAGTCTTCTTCATAGCCTTTTACTAATTTATCTTTTTGCTTTCATTAATCCATTGCTTACCGTATGATAATTACGCATGTCACAGACCTGCACAGCGGCATGAAACATGCTTATGCTAGTGCAGCATCTCGTGTAGGTATTCCCCCTTTTCTTTCATTTTCTTCTGCGCATAGTTTCTTGTGCCTGCATGAACCATAGCAAAAAAGACATTCTTCTTCGCACTTTTCTTCGCAGTTCTTCACGAACCGCTTATCCCAGCCATGCATCTTTGGTTTTGCTTCTTTGTGAGAAAGTAAACCCACAAGATGTTGTGGCTAAGAAGCGGTCTTCTTAGAGCAAAAAGACACGTTTGATTTCAGATGTGATAGCAAAACACGTAAGTTTAGCAAGCCCAGTCTAATTATTTTTTTGTGTTTCCTTCTTTGACGATTCTGGTACAACAACAAACTATCACACAGTCCAGCTATCGTGAATGGTTTTCATTGATACCGTCTTTGATCCTTCAGAATTTAAATTGTGCCAACTGTTTGTAATCGTTGTTTTCAATCTCCCCCACAATCCTTATGCGTTCACCGTTCAAGTTGGTCAGGCCTTTCTGGTTTCCCTCCTTTTATGAACGTGACACTTTGAATGGCATGGCTAGCAGAGCGGGCTGTTGAACTTGGTCTTCAAACTCCTACCTTTTGACCCTATTAAATAGTCTAATTGCTGCTTAAATGGAATAAGGTGATTGCCTTGTCCAATGAGTAACATTGCTGTGAATTTTGGCTGCAAAGCGTAAGATAAGTAAGCTGATAAGTGGGCTTAATCCCTTACGTCGCCTGAGGCTTCCACTTACTCTGCGGGCGACCGGTACAGGGGATCAGTAAAGCGAACTTGTCTTAACTTGGAAGGCGTTGGTCACTAATTCTTGGATAGGAGCTTTGCACCACTGTTGTGTGAGATACCAAGATAAGTCAAGCTTCACTTCTTGCGCTGCTCGTTGCCTTGGATTATAACTGAGCAAAATTTTGATCTGCAATATTTTGAGCATTAGTGTTTAGCCGAAATCGTCTTCATCATGGCTTCATCAATTCCTAACTTTGTGAGTTTTAATAATAAGCATAGATAGACGTAAATATTGGTCTGTCTAGTCTTCCATCGCTCACCGTCTACTCTTGTGCAGAGAGAACTTGAGGGATGATACTCCCACAGTAAGTTAAATCTCTATAAGATAACAATTGAACATGTTAAACGTCCACAAAAAAAGTCTTTGATATCTTAGCACTCGAGAAGCGATGACGTTCTCAAAGGACATCTTCGGAAGATCTTCCTACTACTTCAGTAAGCTTTGATTGTTTCCGTCGTTTCTTTCTTATACTTTGATTATTAAAACCCGGTCACCAACTTGGAAAGCACCATCAGAGGTCCCACATTTGAGATGTTCTCAACGCCATTGGAAGAAGGCTACGCTCCAGTTCGCACACTTCGTTCCAGGAACACTGATTACAAAGGCCGAGCATCATTGGACGCTAAGAGCAAAGCTATAGTGGGCAACATCGAAGTATTCTTTGAAGAGCTGAAGCGCCGCTTAGGAAAGGCAGCTAAATGGACCATCTTTGACTTTACTGCAAAGCTGACGGGCATCGCGTGCGAAATCGGTCATCGCACAGTTGAACGCCTTATAGCTGAGACCGATTTATGTAGAAAGGCCATACTCCGTACCATCGCGCCTGTTGCAATGAACCCGAAACAACGAACGATTGAGGCTCTTGAAGTACACGGGGACGAATGGGGAGACATCGTAAGACAATTCAAGCATCAGAAGTTTAGGCAAGAAAAGCATGTAACTGTGGAGAGATTCTTGACGAGCTGAAACAACTCCATCCCTCTTTTGACTTATCAGAGACAGCCTTCTATTACCTGCTGAAAGGGCTAGGATTCGCATACAGAAGAAATCCGGCCAGAGGTACATATTTGAACGTCCAGACCTCGTCAGCAGAATATCCACCTACATCGATGCTATTGCACAGGCCAGAAGCAGCAACTGCTGCATTGTGTATCTGGATGAAACGTGGATATACGATTGTACGTCAAAGGCTAAGGGATGGGTCGATACTAACATACCGCGCTTCGCTCCAGAATCGGTTTCCTGCATTTTTCCCACGGACTGCCACCATAGACAAAGGAAAGAGGGGGATTGTCATCAGCGCCATGAATGAGAATGGAATAGTACCCGGCTGCACCAAAATCCTCATCAGTGGCCGCGATGCAGTAGGGGACTACCACCAGGATATGGACCATGAAGTCTGAGAACTGGATGCGGGAATCAATGCCAATGCCAATCACTGCCCAAAATGTAGACTGTTGCTGGTGGCCGTCGCTTGTGCTTAGTGAGGGATAACGCGGCCTATCACTCCCGACAAATAGAAAAGGTCTACTCCCCATAAAATGCTTACTGGAACCAATCATACAATTCAGATACCCACTAGGTCCTCCACAAAGGCGGTCATGGTAGAGTATTTGCGAAGCACGTTACGGTGCCACTAAATCCCACAAAACAAGATCTTGTAGCAGAAGTAACTTATAATCAATTTAGTTCATCCATCTAACAGCTAAACTACCCTATTCTTTTTAGCTCGAGAGATTTATATCCAGTCTGGGCGGTCGATACGCTTTACGCAAATATGCCGCCGAGAATATTTGTGCCGAGGTGGGAGCAGTAGTGGTAAGGCTACCGCCTTTCCACTACTTCTTCAACCCGATTGAACTGTGTTGGGGTCGAATGAAGGACTATCTCACCAAGTTCGGGAAGCATATTGACACCCTACAAACGGTACAGGTGACTAGACAAAAGCTCCTCCGTGTAAGTCTTTCTAAAGGTAAAACAAAGAGCGCTGCAGTGGATGGGTAACGTGCCAAAATCGTTCGGTTATGATTGGGTTGCTCACGTTATGCATGAAGAGGAGGGTGCAAGAGAAAAAATTGCTATCGGTTTCGAAAATAGCCGTTTGGAATCTTCAAGCAATGTTAGCGATATCGATGAAGCTTGGAGCGCTCTCGGGCTTTAGACTACATTTGAGATTAACTTTTTTGACATCTTAAGCTATTTCATCCGGGTGACTAGTAGGAACGGGTGACAACGTTATTCAGCTAATTACTCATCTTCTTCCATCATAGTGCAATCGTTCTCACTTCAATGCGTCTTCCAAAGAAAACCAATCAATACAATGCTCACTTTTACTTCTTTCAAAAATTGTATGCCTTTAGCACTATCTTATTTGCATGCCAGATACTTGTAAGGTCTCTTAGTTCCACACTTATTAATCACAGCTACACTTCATGTCTATCATGAAGCTCACAAAACAAATAGGGAATCTAATTCCTGAAAAATCAATCAACTCTTCATAAATAAATCTTTTGTAACATAGACAGACTTGTAACATGCGACTTGTAACAAGTGAGCGTAAGGTAAGCAATGAATCACGAAATCAAAAAAAAAGAAATCAATAGACTGAGCGTGAGGAAAGACTCACCTTGTCAATAACTTCTATCGCACTGAAATATTATTTGTATTTCTTTAGCATGACAAAAATGCTTGATAGCCACGCTATCTAGAGTTTTGCCTTCTCACAAAGAAGCAAAAACAGAGACGCACAGCTCTTACAAGCAGTGATGATGACAGGAAGCATGCAGGGGCAAAGAACAGGGCTGTGAAAGAGCAATTCTGCTTCATTTCACGAGCATTCACACAACAGTGCAATAAAAACATCCACAACAAACAGAAAGCTTACAAAGGAGGTTGAAAAAAGAAATGAAAAGCAAAGAGAGCAATGAAGAACAAGGAGAGCACACAAGCAACGGACTACAGACACATAGCGCAAGCATGCGACACACAAAGTCGTGAAAAACAGTCAGCACACAGATCTAGTATCAAAATTCCACATAAAAAGAAAGATTGAAGTAAAAACTCACGTCACTAAACGAGTACAGTCATCGCAGTTCACAATAACAGCAAAAGTTGGGGAGACGGCCCTTCTGAATCCACCGTCCCTTACAGTAATCTAAAACTAGGACGCGCGCGCATGCGCTGCGATGACTGCGGACGAGTGCTCCACGAAGGGCTCGTATTTTCGAAAATCACCAACTCTTTTCATGCGGCGCTTGCATTGTGGAATGCAAGCCAATCATGCTGAACTTCAACCAAACACAGCTACCATCCTCTGAATGTCTGGTATTATGAGCCCTACTTCCCAGCAGGTATGTTTTTCGAAGTCTTTTCATTTACATGATTCATAAAAAAAACTTCTCATGAATCTCCTTTGAATTCTTTCGGGACTTTGTTTTTTCTTGCTTTTTTCCACTTAGATCCCTTGTGTGTGCGATCCTTATGACGTCGTGCATCGTCACATCATATTGCTAATGTGAGCTGCTTGATGTTATTGAGGAAAGCTCACGTAATCAAAGTTTGTGTAACAACTCTTTATAAAGGCCAATTATAACTTGAATTGATGATCTGCGCTAATTCGTTATCAGATGCGTATTTTCTTCTGACATTTCAGTGCAGCTCTGCAGCTTTCCAAAGAAATCATCATCTCCTCAAAATTCTCATTCTAGTAAAGTTTACGAACGCGCATTTGAAATTTTTACGATATAAAAAGCATGATGCGTGCAGCAAAGAAAAGGTCGCTACCAAAATTGATCCATGTAGATCACGTTACCAAATGAAGATGATGCATTTTTATTTGATTGCGTTTTTGATAGGGCGGTGTAAAAAAAACTTCATACTCATCATAAAAAACGTATGCTTCCCTACTGGCATGCATGCAGTGCACATTTCAGTTGAATGTGACTAGATGATGCTGCAAGGAGGCAGACGTAGGAGAGTAAAGCATGCAATCGAACTAAAAAAACGGTAAAATAAGTCGAAAAAGACATTGAAAAGTCTCATGGATCAAAAACATACCACCTTAGAAAGTGGCCGGCGATTTAAGGAGTGTGGAGTAGAACGAATAATTAATTTATTGAATTCCAGGGAGTTTAGGAATTTTCTAGAAAGTTACCTCCAGGATCTCATTGTGGAGTAGGTTATCAGCGATGTGAAACTCGTCCGCCTCCGCAGCGCGTCTGCCCAAGTCAGCCGCTCGCTCCCGCAACCTAGCCAATCATGGAGTGAGCTCTAATTAGCGCTGACCTCTTAGAGCCGTCGCGATTGGGGCAGGTTCAGAGGGGCCTACACCCCAAAAGTTAGCACCAATAACGTGGCCGGCTGGCTGTCGTGCTGCGCGCGCTCCGTGGAAGAGCGCCGACCAAGCCCGCGCGCGCTCCATGGCTGAAAATTGCCCGCGCGCCGCGTGCGCGACACACTTCAACCTATTTGAGCAACCGCCTTCGTTACGCAGGAGATATTAGATTGCGATGAAATCGAGAGTTCCAGCAGATAGCCTGCTAACAATGAGGCACGCGATTCCAGGCGGGTAACACTTGAATTTGTCTTCCTCGCTATAAAAAAACTTAGGAATAGCGTGGTTCTACTTTATTTTATCGTGTCACAATTTCAAAAAGGAAGCTTCTTAACGCTCTGACCAGTAAAATGACATTCAATTTGCGATAGAACCTTGTTCGTGCTCTTACAATACATATGGAATATGGTCAAAATCTAGAATTCGCTGTTATTTTGCACCTGGCATTGACTACATATATCATATCCATTTCTTACGATAGTGCTACACAGTGTGGTTATGATCCTAACTTCACGAGTACGACAAGTACTTTTTTTCAATTTTTTAAACGAGCCGCCTCGTTGTTTTTCGAAAGACGAACCTTATGCCGCACGATAATCTCACGCATACACAGCACCGTAGAGTCCTTTGATCTCAAAATGTTTTGGTGTTCAGGCTGGCCTAATTTGAAAAAAATTAGGTGCGTCCAGCACTTGTGAAATTAGGATATATGAAATGGCGTGATTTGCTTATTTCTAGGCTTTACTTTTGAAAGGATAACTTGTTCGTGATCAGCATTTCAGATAACTCCGCATGCGAATTACAGCATATTCCAACATTTTTCACTTTTTCATATGTCTGTTGTTACGGCACATAAAGACCCTGCCGCAGGGAGTGATGGACATTTTTGTGATCAGCACTCGAAAAATACTTCGAGCAAAGTTGTGGGGAATACGAAATCTTGCATTTCTGAGTGGTGCAATGCATTATAATATGTAGTACCAATCTAATCCATTCATATCAAACTCGTGTTTTACACATTGCAGAATTATGTTTATTGAAAACTTCTTCACAATATATGTTGAGAACCACATTAATGTGGTCAGGTTAACTTTTTAATATAGACATCAACATTACCATCAAAAGACGACGGTATTCTGACGGTGTGCAATGAGGCGAAAGAGCTTGCTCCTGCTTTCTAGTCTTAAAGTTGCTCTTACTTACAAGGGAACGATACTTGGTGTCCGCGGCCTTTTGAGATGAAACGTATACCTTCACAACGCTGATTTTGAATCTAACTTTCATTTCTGCTAATCGTTTTTCTAAAAGAAGTTATAAAGGATTTTCGCGTTACTGGTCGCCCAAGAGAAATACAGTCGAGGATACCCAAGTTCCGAAAAGAAGCTTGATTGAGACAATGCAAAACTGAAAAACACAAATGGACTCGAACCTAAACCTGCATTACCTTGCGAGGCTATCGCACTAGCCACCACTCCACGTCTTAGCGGCTTTTTGACATTCCGACCATATTTCCCTTGGCACAAAAATCCTTCATAACTTTTTCAGAAAAACGATTAAGCGGAAGTCAGATTCGGAATCAGATGCTCCAAGAAAAATATACATCCCATCTCAAAAGGCTGCAAACACCAAATATCGTCTCCTTGTTAGTCTTTTCTGCGTGATTCAGAGGTCGTCCGTTGAAGCAGCAAATTGCCGTTGCATAGTTGTGCAGGGCCGCTGTTTCTGAGGCATGCAACAATTTTATTTTTAGAGTTGAGACGAAATCATGCAATTTGAAGTATGTCTGCTACGGAAAGGTTATTCGCTATTATCTAATTTTGCTAGAAGTACGCTTTTACGAGAATTATGAGGAAAGCACTTTGGTATAACTGATGGTAGTTCATTTACAATTTTGCTCCGCCGAGGTCAGGAACGGAAAAATTCATTTCGACCAAATGGATTTCGTCTAGCAATACGAAAATACAGTCAAGCGCTTTGTCACTTACTGCGCACACGACCGCTGCCCGGTGACAGTGTACTTGCTGTTGCCCTTTTGAATCGTTTTGCTGTCTCTTGTCGATG